TTTTTTTGTTTGGTTGGTTTTGGTAGGTATAACTTTTTCTGGAACTTTGTACATACCCAAGGCCTTGGGAAGAAAATGTCTGTGTTGTAGCCAGCTGTCCTAGCTAACTCCTTTTCCTACTCTTCTCTAAGGGCACATTGCTGTATTTGAAATCTGTCTGTCAGATTCACAAGTCTTTCCTTGAATCAGCCTGCACTGTTCCTTCTGTAGAAGCCTCTTTGCACTGTTGACTGTAGCTGCTACAACCAATTAGTTCCCACTTTCCCCAGTCTCTGTAAAAGGAGTCCTTACTTGACATGCATGAGGTTGATGGGGTCGTGGCAAAAATGTGAAGTCTATACCCACATTGCACTCAGTAAAATTTATAATATCTGTGCAACACTTTCTGAAGAGATGCTATGTCACTGATGTTTTGGCACTCTGTGTAAATGCWTTTTGCACACATTGTTATGCATCTAATGTCTACAAAAGCGGCAATTGCTTTCTATTTTTCTCAGCTATACTGACTTTTCAGAGCTTGAACACAGTTCMGTTTATTTCTTGCCTTAGTTTTGCTAAAAACATCAGTGGTGACAGCAGATCAACATGAAGGATCTTTTTTATTTGTCAGATAATAATCTGCAGTTTGATTGATATTTGCAAAAATTTTCTTTTTTTTTTTTTTTTTTAGCTTGAAGAGCTTAGTATAATATTCAAAAAAGATTCATTCCCAATACCACAGTGGAAGGTGTGGGTGAATAGAGTCATGTCTTAAGCATGGAAAATGGTTCAATCTTGAAAAGCCCCTACCAGGATCTGGACATTGAGTGTCCCATGTTAGTGTGCATTGCKGGATTAATGGAAATACAACATTGTTTCTTTCTCTGCTTCTGAAATCAGAGACCGCACATTATTGTCAATGACAGAAGGAATGGAGACTAGATCTTGGCTTAAATCTTATATATTTAAAGGGGTTTTGTTCCCAGATGTATGTATTAATTGGGAAACAAACTGGGGAGAAAAAATTCTTTGAAATAAACCAGATTCCTAATGGAATAAGAAAACTCCCTCTAGTGTGTTTTCTCCCTCTGTGTCAGCTTTTATGGTTTTGTTTCTGGCATGCATCTTTTGAGATTTCTTTAAAGATTGTTAAGAAATTTTCTCTTACATCAACAAACAACTTTCAGAGCTTGATCAAAGCTTCAATAAAAGGCATCTTACACCGAAGATTGGAGGCAAAGGGGCAAAAGAGGTTGTAGGGAGGGAAGTGCAGGACTGCTTTCTAATTTGKTTTTGCTTTCTAAGATCACCAAAATTTGAAGCTGCATTTCAGGTTTGTAAACAATTGAGTTTGCAAGAGATGTGCTTGTACAGGGTGTGTGTGTGTGTAAAGATGTGTACTGAGAACTGTAATCAGCAAATTCATTTGTACTTGCAGGRTTGTGTTTATTAATGTTACACTGCATTAAGTTGCTGTTTCTCAGACTGCCCCAGCCTGTTGGCAAATGCTCTGTAAACTGTGAAGAACAAAAATCGAAGGAAACTCTCAGTGGTTGAGATAGTGCTGTAGGAAGCCCCTCCCAGCAACATTAGAAAAGTCTGGAAAATGTACAGTAGACCAAGTGTTTTGCTGAAGCTTTAAATGCTAGCAGAAAGCTTTCCAAGTTTTTCCTGGCAATAAGGCTCCTGGACTCACCTGCTATTTTTTTTTTTTGTTTCCCCTCAGGGGTGCACAGTGAACAGTAAGCAGGAATACCTCTGTACGGAGTTCAGCTGAGCTACCAGCAGAATTCCTGTCTGACAGCATATTGCATTACGGGCCCAGCAGACCAGCAATGTGCTCACAACTCTCTTGTTTAAACACAATGACAACACTTCACTMCTTTTTCACAATGCTTTGTGGTGGGGAGACAGGGTGCATGTGTATGTATGTGTGTGTGCCTGTCTGGAAGTCCATGCCCCATGGATGGAGGGAGCAGGTTTTACATGGTGCACCTTCAGGACTGAAGGTAAAAGAAATACACATCTGGAACTGCTCTACTAATGAGAGAATTAATAGAACACAAAGAAAGCACGAAGCATGCCCATAAAACAGAAGGTCAGGCCTTTTTTAGCTCAAGGTCTGAGTGGAAAAACCATATTAGTAATTCATTATGCACCCAGAATGTCTAAGGTATTGATTATTCACAGTGCCCAGGAGTGATGAAGGAATGCCACTTCTGATCCAAAAGGAGTGGAGATTAGCCGTATTAACGTGGTGCATGGCTCAGCAGGGGAAGGGGGGGAGAATCATGCAATATGAAAASCTTTTTTATGCTTAAGTAGAAATGGAGACTGGGAAAGACTGTAACCCTACAGAAATCTTAAGGTGTTTTCAATGAAAACTGACTAAAAATGTTTGTTTTCCAAATATGCTGTGTCTTACAGAAGGTAGTCATTCCCACAGGACAAAAAATTGTTTAAAGCAGATGTTATTAATTTAAATTTTTTGCTTTTGACTTTAATTCGATTTTGTGGAATAGAAACAAAAACCAGTTTGTTCTGTGGTTTTTGTTTGTATCATTTTGTTTTCCTTTTTGTTCTGGTTTATGTAAAACATGCAAACAACAATCAACCAACSAAAAAGCCCAAAGCAAAGAAAGACGTAAAAAGAAAGGAATTGACAATATCAAATACATATAATAGTAGAATATACATCCAGCACTTTGGAATAAGTGTATATTCTTTTATATTAGAAACATTCTTGTATTAAAATCTCAAAATAAGAGCAAAGAGTAAAGGCTCTGAGTCTGCCGCATCTTCTGCACATGTTTAACTTCAGGCACTGTCACTGGTTTTGGTGATAATGTGAGGGAGGTCAAACATATGGTAAATCCTTGCAAAAATTAATCTCGGGGACTGTTGCCTAAGAGGCCTGTGGAGTCCGTGCTTGTCTGCAGGAGCCTGGCTGCTGCTGCTGCTGCTGCTGCTGTTGTGGGTTTTTCCTCTCCAGCTGTAAATCTCATTTTTGAAATACCAGCATATACCAGACGCTTACCAAATAACACTCCTCGATGCAATTATTTTCAATAGCTGCCATTAGGAGGTCTCAAAAGGAACAGGGTTTTTGGTCTGCTCAGCAGACCAAAAACCTACTCAGCATGAAGATACTGTTCTGCTCATAAATACACAAATCRCTGTGTTAGGACCACATAGCCATAGCATGGACTCAGAAGCCTTTGGGAAAATGTTCTTTCCTTTCATTTGCTGAAATAGTGAGTTTTTAAGTAAAACAAGATGCAGAAGATGAAGAGGGAAGGAGCTGGGTTGYATAGGTTTTTCCCCCGTGGTGTGAGATTATGGTTTTGATCTCTCTGCARCTGAACTAGGTGATCCTGAGCAAGCCACTGGATTTTGTGTCTTGGGTTCTGCAGCTGAATATTTGTATCTCTTTCCCTTGCAGGCACACTGTGAAAATACAGATCTGTGGCTCTTGTTGTTGTCAGTAGTGAGAACAAAGCAGGCCTGTGCTGAGCTAAGAAAAAGCTTGATGGGGAAGGTTATATRTAATGATCAAGTTCATAAAAAATGCATTTATTTTATTTTTAAAACTCTGCCTAAATCCAGGATTGGSCATGTTTGTTGAATGCATTTCTGGCTGTATCTTCCTCAGCCCTTGTCTCTGCTGTCACAGTCACAGAGTTTCAGAGGCAGCTTTGCTCACTTCCCTGAAATGCCTGGACATTGATATGACAGCAGGAGATGTGCTGTGGACAAAAGCTTGATGTTCTAAAACCAGTCTGTCTGTGAAAYTTGTTTTTCTACTGGTCACTAAATTGTGGTTACTGTGTTCATTTCTGGGTGGTGCTTTGCTTTATAAAGCATTTCTGTTGAGATCAGTACTGAGATGGAGGGAGTGTGCTCAGCAGCAGGATGCATTTCTCCTACACTGGATGTACCTTGTGCAGCATACTACTGAAATATCCTTASAGTCTCTAAATGTATTACCTGTGGCATTTGCTTGAGTATCAAAATTATATCTCATTGTCTTCCAGTCTTTTACTTGGCTTGCTTGGAGAAACTGGGAGCAGGAGTGGAAATGACTTGTAGGCAGCAATGTCMGCACAAAGGGAAAATGGTTGAAATGATCTTACAGCAAGAGTAACCTTTCTTAGTAGCAAAATATCTTGATTTTTGTGCCTGATTTTTTGCCGCTAAAATGAGGTAAAGTAGGTAAAGAAGTAGCAAATTGTTTTGGGGAGGGGAGTTGACTGCTTCCAGTGTGACCATTAGCCCTAGCAATAAGTGTGTAAATATTGTATAACAATTCTGCAACAAGTTTCCAGGCATGCTGTTTCTTCATCACTTTCCTGGGCTTTTTTTTTCTTTTTTTCAAATCCAACAGAAGTTCACTTTAGTCCATTGGAAAGCAGTGGTTTCTATGTGCACATGAAGAAGTAGTAGTCACTGGGCTCCTGGCTGAACTTCTGAGTTCCAGTTTGCATGACTGAAAAACTGACTTTTCTAATGAGACAATGATAATAAGTGTATGGAGTTGTGCTTTTCTCATTTGCCCAGATCTGGTACAAGAAGCAGCATTTGCCTCGTGAGCTCTTTCTTGGCCTCCTGCTGMATGGCTGAAGGAGCTGAGAGGTGAAGGACCACAGTATTCTCTGCCCCTAAGAGCTCACAGCTGTGCCAAGGTTATGGACCATTACTCTCTGCCARAAGAAAGCCTCTGACTCCAACATATTCATTTCTTGCACTGTTTAATTAAGAGAATAAAGAATTAAATCCTTGGATTTAAAAAAAATCCTTCCACTACTGTCTCTTCTTCAGGGCTCAGCACTGCAGCCTCCCCTTTGCTCATGGGCTTTTGAAATACATTTTCTCACTCTCACTGGTAAAAGTGACTGCTTAACCCCCAAGAAACCCCGAAATCCATCACATTCCATTAACAGATGGGCTGGCAGGGTGCTGTACCGTGCAGAGAGCTCTGTGTCTGTCCAAGGCGTATTGAAATCRTGCCTTCTGTCTTCCAGATTCCGACCTGAGCATGCGGACGCTCAGCACRCCCAGTCCAGCGTTAATATTCCCACCGAGCTCGCCTGGCTTCCAAAATGGCAGAGGCTCGTCGACGTCTTCATCCTCGGTCACGGGGGAAACTGTGGCCATGGTCCACTCGCCGCCTCCGACGCGCCTCACGCACCCTCTCATCCGGCTGGCGTCCAAGCACCCCAAGGAGCAGGCGCACATCGAGCGGCTKCCCGACCACTCCATGATCCACATCTTCTCCTTCCTGCCCACCAACCAGCTGTGCCGCTGCGCCCGCGTGTGCCGCCGCTGGTACAACCTGGCCTGGGACCCGCGCCTCTGGAGGACTATTCGCCTGACCGGCGAGACCATCAACGTGGACAGGGCTCTCAAGGTGCTGACCCGGAGGCTTTGCCAGGACACTCCCAACGTGTGTCTCATGTTGGAGACGGTAATTGTWAGTGGCTGCAGGCGGCTCACGGACAGAGGACTCTACACCATCGCCCAGTGCTGCCCGGAGCTCAGGAGGCTGGAGGTGTCCGGCTGCTACAACATCTCCAACGAGGCAGTCTTTGATGTCGTGTCACTGTGCCCCAACCTGGAACACCTGGATGTGTCAGGTAACAGGGAATGTTCCCATGCAGATGCCTCTGATGCTTGACTAACCCCACACCGCACACTTCCCCTTTCTGTGCTGTCTTTTGAAGTAGGAATGTGAGACAGGCACCACTAGAATCCCAGTGCCCCTGATGCCAGCAGCCCCTCTGGAATGGCCTCTTCCAAAGGAATTGAACTGGCAGAGGTGGCCTGTTCAAATGGCACGAGGAAGCCTTACAGATTTTTGTACAAGGGCCCACGTGGCAGCCAGTGCTACATCACGTGGTGAAGGCTACTTACTTCAGCCAAATTTGTTTCATCTTTTTCATACACATATATGTGGAGATTATATATAGGTAATGAATACATTTGTAATCTGATAAGTGACTTGAGGAGTTTATAATAGGTCCTARGCTTTTTTTCTGGGCATTAATATTAGTTGTCATTCCTAGCTGAACTTCAAGGTCCCCGTGTTTCCATTGCTATTTTAACAAGACTTGGCCAGCTTTAACTTTTTTTTTTTCTTTTTTTCTTTTAAGCTGCCATTGCAGCTGTTTAGATCAGCAGAAATGTTTTAGGCAATTTTCTTCAAGCCTGCTCTGGGGAAACAAGATGTTTTTTCCCAAGGTCAGCTGCACAGAATTTCCTCTCTGCAAATAGGTTGGCACTTAATGGAGAGGAAGCAGCCAAGCAGAGCACTGAAGTAAATTTGCTGCTCAACATTTACTTTGTGATCCCATTTGTTATCAGTCTAATGCCATCATAAATCAGCTGAACCAGATTTGCCATTGCAGATGTACCAGGCTGAAAACTGGGGATTAAACAACAGGGGATAGAAAGTGATGCTACTGAAGTCACTGGTACCAGATAAACTGCTTTTTCCAAGGCTGCCTATCTGGTGTACACTGATTTGATTTCATTTCTGTGCCTTTTAATTTTTTAAAATGATGTATCCAACTCTCTCCCCCCATTCCTAGGATGGCAGGATGTCACGGAAGGCATCGAAATAAATACCTGCAAATCAGAATTCTGCACTTTTTGGGATTGCTTTCTGAAACCAGCAGGTGATAAGGAGTCTCCATGGGACTCCTCAGGAATCTATTCACAGTGACCCTGTTWATGAATTATTTGTTGGTACAGATTAATTGACTTAGTTCTGGATTGCTAATCACACAYTCAGGTTGAAGCATCTCCAGTGCCAGGAGCAAATGTATTTACCTGTTTGATTTAGACCTAGAGCTTTGAAACTCACAYCCTGAGTGCACCTGGGGGCTTGTAGGTGGCTGAAAATGCTTTGGTCCACAGCTYTTATTYAGGGATGTGCTGTAGACCAAAGGCRGCTTTTTCRAGAGCAGGGGAAGGAAAAAGATGATACCAGGTCTTGAAATAGGTTCTTTTGGGACTTGTCTTAATTCGTGGTTTTCCCAAGCCTCTTACTCTCAGACCCAGAAGACAGTGTCCATCCCTAAGAGCTCATCAGTTTGCTACAAAGTGTGAARGGGGCAAATAAAATGCGTCTCCTTTGAATTTTGTCTCACCAATGGGATAAGAAAGTAGTTTTAATTTCTTTTTCCTTTCCTAAGTTGTTCTTTCTACTTGGAGCATGTGAGGGGAAAGTCCTGCTTTTGAACATGCASGGAATTCAGGGTGTGTGAGTTCATRTACAGCTTTTSCTACATGTGCCTGCACATGAATYGAGGATAACCAATCTCTAGGCTCTTGTTTTGAGTTCTCTTTTTTCATTCTGATGTGGGTTATTTTGGAGGATGTTTTGGAAAGAGGATTCCATTGTCCCCTGCCTCTGTCTGTAGTTCTGAGGACCAGGCTTGCACCTACAGGTTCAAGCAGTTCTGAGAACTGAAGTGTTTTGCTGGTGTGGTTCCATACTGAGCAGAGATGGGGGTGTGTGCTGTGCTGGGGGTGATGCTAGTTGCTAGCTAATTAAATCCCAGCTCACAGTTGTACATCTAGTTGAATCCTTTTCCCCTTTGGATGGCTGCTTGGCAGCAAAGATGTACCAAAATCTTTAATGTCAAAACCAGATGTTTGTATTGACTTCAGCAGCTTTCCACAGTGTAAGTTCTGTCACTGTCAGCACCCGCTTTGTGGGCAGGTCTGAGATATTGCTTCAAGTTGGTTGAGTTTGGCTGCAGGCTGTTAYCTAACACTCTAGCCAATGTGTTTTTTCAGTCTGTTTGGACATTTCTCCTCCCTTTTAAAAGCTAGTTGTGCTTTATGGAAACTCCTGTCACAAGAGCTTTATTTTTMCATTTAGTATTATTTAGGACAGAAAAATTATTGTGGACCCAGGAACCTGTCATTTTGCCTAAAAATCAGGCAGTTCTATGTCAGCATAAACTCTTGTTTCTGGTGAAACCATTCTGAATATCCTTCCCATGAAATGTTTTAGAGTGTAGCCAAAGTAACTAGACAAGGCAATGCTGAGCTTGTYAAAATGATGATGGCACACTGATGTATGCGACTCCAGCCCTGCTGTGAGATATTTGAACAATCACTTTCTAACTATGGTCATTAAAGCTTCTTGGACTCTCAGCACACAGAAAGTTCTCCTTGGCCTCATGGATGCATTATTCTCACTAAGCCAGATTTAAAATTGAATTCTGGTCAGAATTTAAAATATCCAGACTGACTTCTTAATCCAGCAACCTCCTTGGCCAAATGCAACAGTGRCAGCTGCATCAGGTGCAGCAGAACTCCACTGAGGTGCCAGCTTCTTCTGTGGAACTCTTTCATGCATTTTGTATCACCTATGTCAAAGAATATATTAGAGGTGAATTTTTTACACCATAAGTGTTGCTTCCCCTTAGAAAAAATCCTTTGTGTTACAGAGTTTATACATATGTATATACATATATATATATATATATATAGTACTTACCTGAAAGCAAAAATATTTCCAGAGATTGCTCCAGAGCATAGATAGATCTGAAACACAGTCTGAAGAGAAAATAGCAGTCAGTTTTAAGAAGATTTTTGTTGGACAGAGTGTTTTACTTCAAGGTCTTGCTTCTGCATAACCTGTGGGTAGTTTGCCCATTTAATTGTGTGAGTCCTAAGGTAAAATTAGCATCTGTTCCACTAAGTTTGAAACCCAAATTAAGGATCCAGCCTAAATTCAAATGATGAATATAGATATCTCATTGCAAGTGACAAACTGTTTCAAGTCCATATGCCATGCTTCTTACAGCATTTGTGTGAGTCCCTGGGGTTATCTCAAGGGAGTTTTTTATTGTTTTGTTTTTGCATTCAAGAACTGAAGCATATTCATACCTTCCACTAAGCCTGTGAATGATAACCTGTTATCAATTACTAATCAATATCAATTAGTATAGCTTTGGGTCATTTAAGTTTTTGAGGCAGCCTCCCTACATCATCATGCTCTTTACTTCCACACTACAGGATTTCTGCAGGATTTCTGAGTCACAGAACTCTAAGGTCATCACTTTTCATGAGTCACTTCATACTGCTTGGCCAGTGTTCCAGCAGTGCAGAAAAGGTTTTTTTATTTCTACCTGGGGACACCTCTTTGGGCAAAACCTGCAGAAGTTCTCTTGAAACTGTTTGGCCTTGATCACTAACAGGTAGACTCTCATTTCTTGCAGCTGTTTCWAGCTATGCTAATGCAAAGTGCCCAGCTGAACTTGGCACAGCTTAAGAATTTCCCCAAGAAGCCTAAGACTGCCAGTTTGCAGTGCAGCAGAAACCACACTTTCCAAAAAAAAGGCTTTTACTCTCCACTGTGCACTGAGTGGAGGTTAGAAATGGGGAAAATCTGTGAGTGTTTTTCCCTTTGGTCTCATTCTTTGTCTTTCCTTCCAAAGTCTGGTATTTCTCCTCTAGCCTAGTTACCTCTGTTCATGGCCAGACTTTCTCATTGGACACAGTCCTTTTCTTTGTCTATGTCCTCACATGCCCTTACCAGTGTGTTGGCTCCTACCAATTCCCCCCATTCTCCTTTGGWCATCCGAATCTCCACCCTTCTGCAAGCACACAGTCGTGCCATAGTTTTGCATCCTTCCCACATTGCAGGCTTGGGGCTGGATTCACATCTGTTCTCCAAATGCTTTTGGGAGGGCAGGGAGAGAGCTGTGTTTTCTATAACAAGTTTGGATGGTGAAAGAGYCTCTGATGTTGGTTTGCAAATTCAGCCAGTCAGCAATGAGGCTGTCTTTGATCAAAAAAATGCATTGGTTGTCACGAAGTATCATTTTCTCTGACTGTCACTGGGATTATATTGTGGCAACAGATCACAGGCTGTCCCTAGATAGACCCAGGACCATCATTTTACATTTGGGATATGGATAGAATCGGTCTGCTGCTTTCCCAGTGCTCACAAAGCGACCTCACGGACTCAGTGGAGTTTATAATTTCTTCTGGTGTGGGGACTCAGCGCAGCAAATCCAGATCAGTCAGGCGAGGTGATTTGCACTGGCAACAGGGAGATGCCTCCATCACATCCAGCACAGCATTGCACACCCCTTTCCTGGTCCTGCCGTGTGGTTTGTTATTACCACTCCCTTAAACTCACTGTGCTTTTCCCCTTAGGCTGCTCCAAAGTGACGTGCATCAGCCTGACCCGCGAAGCCTCCATCAAGCTGTCTCCCTTGCACGGGAAGCAAATCTCCATCCGCTACTTGGACATGACAGACTGCTTCGTCCTGGAGGACGAGGGGCTGCACACCATCGCCGCCCACTGCACGCAGCTGACCCACCTGTACCTGCGSCGCTGCGTGCGCATCACCGACGAGGGTCTGCGCTACCTGATGATTTACTGCCCGTCCGTCAAGGAGCTGAGCGTCAGCGACTGCCGCTTCGTCAGCGACTTCGGCATGCGCGAGATCGCCAAGCTGGAGGCGCGCCTGCGCTACCTGAGCATCGCCCACTGCGGCCGCATCACGGACGTGGGCATCCGCTACATCGCCAAGTACTGCGGCAAGCTGCGCTACCTCAACGCGCGCGGCTGCGAGGGCATCACGGACCACGGCGTGGAGTACCTCGCCAAAAATTGCACAAAACTCAAATCGCTGGACATCGGCAAGTGCCCCCTGGTCTCAGACACCGGCCTGGAGTTTCTGGCCCTCAACTGCTTCAACCTAAAGCGCCTGAGCCTGAAATCSTGCGAGAGCATCACCGGGCAGGGCCTGCAGATCGTGGCTGCCAACTGTTTTGACCTGCAGCTGTTGAACGTGCAGGACTGCGAGGTCTCTGTGGATGCTCTGCGRTTCGTCAAACGACATTGCAAGCGCTGTATTATAGAGCACACCAACCCCGCTTTCTTCTGAAGGGRCACCCCACACCTGTCGTTGCAATGCAGTATTAATTAAAAACACTGATGTATAAACACACRCTCCCATATTCAGTAATGCTGGTTTTTCTGTCGCTCACGGGAGTCAGCTTTTCTTGTACATTGTGGGTGAGGGGGGTTTCTGGAGGACTGTTTTGTTTGCTTTTTGTTTGATCACTTTTTAAGGTGCCGTGGCTCTCTGTGGAGAGGCTGCCTTAATGTGGAAGCAATGAGTGCTCAGCATCCCYGGCRGGGTGTCATTTCCATAAKAGCCATGGTCTTGTCCCTGGCTAAAGTAGCTGMCTCCAAAGGAAATAGCACATAATCCCTCCTTTGGAAATGCTACTAAGCTATGTCCAATACGTCTGAATTCTAGCTGTGCTCATGACACTGACTATGCAATACTGTGTCTGTGTTCCCCACCGTTTTCCAGTATGACTGGTAAAGTATCCTCTTGTCTCCAAATGATTTCTTTTTGGTAGTCATCCATTGTAATCCCTCAGGAAATTCTGGGTAATGTTCTAAACATGCTCGTTTGAGGCCAAGTAAGACCTGCGAGCCCCTGCTGAGTGAATCTGGACATGCCAATGCCTGGATTTTCTTGGGAAGCCCAYCTCCAGGTCACTCGTGCATCATCACTACTTGCCTTCATTTCTAAATTTGTCCTCTCCTKCMWGTGCAGTACCACCCTCTGGTAGCARATAGGGAYTTCTGGCTCTGATAAGCAGTGACACATTCACCTGAGTGAAGGAGAGCAAATGAGTTATTGGTGGCCTGGCAAAATGAAAAGCCATCAAACTGTCCTGAGAGGCTGCTGCAACTCTGCAACAACCTGGGATAGTACTGCAGGACAGCAGGGAGGCTCTGAGGAATGCTGGAGCAGCTTGCACAGGGCAGTCCCAGTTGCTGTGCTGCACACCTGTCACCAGAAAGTCTGGCTTTGTCCCTTTGCTGTCTCTTTTCAGCAGCCATGGCACCAGTGCAGCAGATGCTCCCTGAGCAAACCAGGCACAGTTGTCCAGGTAAAGTCAGGATGTGCCTTAGTACACTTAGAAACCCAACACTTTTCTRTGGCCTTCCAGTTCAAAGGATCTCAAGGCTGATCTTAAGGCTTCAAAGATGTTAACCTGGTGTTAGATAACACCCCTGGGGACAAAGGGGCTTGGAGTTATTCACATCACATTTAGATTTTGTGAGATTTTGGTTGTGTACATTCCCTATGCTGGAGATACAAAGAATTAAATACCAGCATTGCCCTGTCACATGGGGAGCTCCTGGTACTCTCATGGTCACTCTCGCTCTTGCATGAGCAGGAGTCTTTTGGAGGTCCCCTGTCTCACTGGCTCCTTCCCCAGAGTGTGTGGTCGACTCATGGTTACTTTCTTCACAAATTTCTGGCAGCTGCTCCTCGGTGTTTTCATGTGCAATGCTCAGATCTGGAAGCCAGACACGTGAGGGGTGATGATATTTTCAAGCAGGCCCCCTGTGCCTGGCTGACAGGTGAATTCATACGTTCAGCTCAAACGTAAGGGMAGCACTGTGTCTGGTTTTCATAAGCAGGAGTTCCATCATCCCCAGACAACACTAATAAAATCAGGGGTATGAAGTGAAAATCAATATGCTCAAGAAAAACACGTAACTACTGAGGAAATACTTATAACAATGCTCTCTCTCAAAAAAAAAAAAAAAAAGGCAGTGCAGAGGGAACTTGACCTACTACTTCAAAAATTCCAAAAAAAAAAAAAAAAAAAGGCAGTGCAGAGGGAACTTGACCTACTACTTCAAAAATTCCTCTAACCTATGTGTCTTCCTCCAGTTTTGGATTTCTTAATATACAGGATGGCATCAGCTCTGAATTATAAATTAAGTTATACTAAAGCAAAGAAGGCCAGGGAAAAGAATTTGTCATTGCTACTGTTAGTGGTCAGTGACTAATAGGAAGTGATACCATACCTTGGACAGTTAATTTCATTTTGGTTTTCCTTTCCATATTTTTAAAACAAGAGATTATTCTCCAGCAAGTAATACAGTCTATTTTATCTGAGCCAGCTATACTCTCTGTTTATCCTTTACCTAAAAATGGCCTCAAGGAATTTAAATGTTGAGCCCTGAGGATGGTGGGATTTTGAGCCATTTGCACTCATGAATTATAAAGCCTCACTAGTAACATTTAATTGTTTATTAAAAAAAAAAGCTACTTTTCTGGCTATGTTAAATTGAGTGAATAGTGCTACATGGTTTTTAAAGTTTCTAATGTTTAAATTGGCCTGTACTGTACAAATCTCACTATAAAGCCTTAATTTGCTACCAAGAAATAAAGCAATATATTGGTAACTGATGAGCATGCAGCCTCATTTGCACAAACTGATTAACCACTAGTGAAAAAGAAAAGATTAAATACTTTTAAAACTTTGCTTGAAAGGTAAGTGGGTGAATAAGCATATCGGCTCATCAGGTAGGTGGGTGACTATATTAAAAGTGGAAAAAAAAATATTATGGATTATGGACTCACCTATCTCTCTCTTTAAAATTTTATTTTCCTCGTGTGGTTCTTCTTGACCCTGAAACATAACCAGAAACTGCAARTGTAAGTAAAAGAAAAAAACAACATATAAAAAGCACATGAATAAAAATTTCAGGGGGGCTCTGCATTGGTTTAAAAGCACATTAACATATTTCATGTGAAAAGTAAAATGGAACRACTGAAAGGGTAGAGCACTTACTGAAGCAGTGTTGCATTTTGAATACGCTAAAAATCCTACTCTGGGGGGCACTGGTGAAAAGTTAATAAAGGTAATTTTTCTAAGCCAAACACTTTTAAGTACATAGTCTTTTAAGTACATGATCTGAGTTTGCACTCTGAGACTGCTACTTACTTCAAGAAAAGTTGAACATAACTTATTGGTACAGCTTGCCTGATTTGACTTTTAACATTTTTCCTATTTCTACTTCCAAAATGACAGATCCAGAAAAGAAACTGAAATAGTGCATGTGGAGCTGAGTTTGCTGGAAAGTTGCAATGTGTGACTGRTGTGTCTTCTAGTTTAGGGTTAGAAAAACTATAAATTTCCTGAGTGAAAACATAGGTGATTTTTGAACCATAAAATTCAGGCTCAGGCACTGCTGAGGCTTCTTCTGCTCTGCAAGAACATATGGTGATCTCATCAAAGAAAAGCAGCAATGAATCACATCAGTCAGGCTGGCATGTTATTTATGTCTTTGGAATCATTGGTATCCTCTAGAGAGGGGTCTCTTRGAAAAGGCACATCTACATTACCATGCACTGTGATTAGAGCCAAAGCTCTSTATCTAGGTATTCATCCTCCCCTTGGCTTTGGTAAAAAAAAAGATTGAACTGTATTTTTCCTGATAGAAGCATGAGACTGATGTGAAGTGCAACACTTTTGCCCCTTTGAGCTGTGCTCATCTGGCTTCCTGCAGAATGCAAAACAGCTTCTGTTGGATGTTTTGAACTCAGAACCGTGGTCCAGACGGAAACCTTCAGTAGTGGCTTATGTGGTTTCTCAAAACTTCTAGACTTTGAACTGAAAAATTAAAAAGCTAGTAAAATATCTAATTTTAGCACTAGGCTTGAAGCAGGTCCAAGCTCTTATTAAAAAGAAACACAGTGATTGTTTGGACTGCAGGCTGGCTGCCCCTCAGCTGCCAGTGTTACTTTAGAGAGGAAAAGTTCTCTGACAGAATTGGTGCATGGCTCCTCTTCCCCCAGTGTTCCCCAGGAAAGGAACCTACCTTCCATTTTTTATCATTTATTCAGTTTAGCTATTCGTGCTGAAACTTCCCATGCTGGGCTTTGAATATGTTAGYTGAAATGGTTCATCTGGTTCTGTAAATAAAGCTGTAGGAAATGTCATTTTGTTCATGTTAAACTCCAGGTGACCTTTCCTTTGAAAACGGTCCATTGCTCTTCATCCCCTCTAAAGCCTTTGCAGTGAAAGTGTGAGCCTTGCCAGGAGGTCAACTTTGGGACAAGGATGTGTCTTCCTCATCTCCCAGTAAGTTTCACCTAAATTTAGCTACATCACATGAACATCTCCAAMTCTGTGACCAGGGAGAAATGGGACRTGCTCAGATATTTTGAAGCTTGTRGTCTGGCAAGACCGAGATTTGGCAAAGAGAATAGGTGTTTATCACTCTGGCAGTGTGAAGGAGGAAATGACCTGAATTATATGGAAGCTGCCTGGAAAGTCAGGGCAGGGTTGAAAGATGGCTTTTTGAGAACTGGAACAAGAAGGATGAAGGAGATTTCCTGGGCAAGGGGGACTGGGACTGAGATGATAAGGAATTGAAAGATTTTTATCTAAGAAAATGGGACTGGGATTAAGAGAGGTGGGTTTGTATGAGTGGCTGAGCAGGGGGAGTTGGGCCAGAGGAAGCAAATACTGAAGAATGAAGTTTGAGGTAGGAACAGAAATATGAAGAAAATTAAGTGATCTTCATTTAAATACAGTCCACTCCCTTGGCACAGGCTCTGAGAAAGGCAGTGTTTCAGTGAGGATGCCTCACGTTTGAAACCAAAAAGAATGTAGTAACTTTGCTTCTAATGCATCCAATATTTACCATATATATATATATGTATATAGATACAGTGAGGCCAGAAAATCCTCACACGTAGAACTTCTGCCAGTGCCAGCAGAACTATATACCTATATACCTATATACCTATATACCTATAAACCTTTACCAGCATGTGGAAGTCTGAGAGATTGCCAGCCTCAGTGTCTTTTTCTGCCTTTACACCTTTGTGTGAGGTAGCCTGGTGAGAAGAACAAGGCAAGGCAGGTTTGTAAGGTCTGTCCTTCTTTGGCACTGCATTTCACAACATCAGCTACTCAGCTTTGCCAAGGTGCAGGCACCAGTGCAGAGCCAGACTCATGCCATGCCATTTTTGAGGGCCGTTAGAGGGCACAAAAATCACAGTTCAAGTTACTGCCAGGCAGAAGACAGCAGAGTTCAAACTTAGCCTAACAAAAATGCATTCAACTGAACAGCATTACTGCATGCARTGAAACAGATTAAATCCATTTTATCTTCATAATAGCTGAGGGATGTTTATTTTCATGCACCCTGCTGTACAGATACAGAGCAAGTTTTTCATCCCTTTTTGTCTTCTGGATAGAAACATCAGGTCATTTTTCCCTTGTCCTCTGGATGATCACAGAGGCACAACTGAGACTTAAACTAGTCAATGGAAGTCTTTTCCAAGTAGGCTCTGCTAATGCAAATTTTAAAAATATTATGAGTGGAACAATCCAGATGGCCATAGATATGTCAGATTAAGCCAATATACAAATTACTAAACAGGCACCAGAGAAAGAACCAGAGGAACCAGAAGGAGGGAGCTTTTAAAAGAAATAACCCCCCCAAGCTTTTACAAATGACCCTGGTACTTTTAATGCAGAACAGAAATCTTAGCCATTCCTTCTAGCACTAAAGCTACTGTGTTCTTTGGGTTAGAATGGATCAGTTTTCCTTTGTTTTTTAAAGAAACATTGCATGCTGTAACCTCAAGYTCACATAAATGGTAGAAATGGAAAAAGTCATCTTGCAAAGAGGAGAAGGAATGCAAAGAGGGATCAGTGCCAAAAGGARTGAATATTTTTAACAGTTTCACGTTTCATTGTCTGTCTTTGATGGCTCTTAAAATACTTCTTTTTAAAACAAGTAAATGGCCATTCTTGAGATGTTTTGTTACTTCTTCAATTTACTCTATTCACAGAGTTGCCTTGGCAGACAAACTGAATTTCTAGCTGTAAAAATAAGTTTAGTTAATGTAATGTTTATAACTTAATTTAATTTAAGCATTATCAAGTGTTTTCACATCTTAATCATTTGTCCTATAAAGGCTRTATCCCAAGCCTTAATCAGGACAAGTGCAAAAACATTTCTAAATATTTATAACAAATTATATTTTTCTGCACCCCAATTTTGCACTAGTTGTCTGTTCCTGGTCTATTGTATGCTGTGAAAATGCTTCCAGGAACAGGGCTTGTTTCTGGACTTGACTTACATTTTATTTGATTGCTTTATGCTCATGTGGTACCACGATTGTTGATGTGTCTTTTGTGRCACTGCAGAGTGACTGCCTGGGTTTCAGCACGGAAATGGAACGGGTAACACGTGATATCTGTGTTGGGGCAGTTCTCAGAGCCTGCAGTTTCATGGCTCTGAAATACCCATCCACAGCAGTGTCGGTGCTTTTGTAGTGATTTATTCCTTYGCTGCATGAAACATCTTCTGTTTCATTGGCGTCGATGACAGGACAATATTGTAACTGCAGCACCTGCTTTGGGCAAGGTAGGAGAGACATGGCCTTCCCTCCACACTGTCCTTTCCTGTCCTCCTCTGTCCTCTAGATTTACCCAAGTTCCTGCAACACTCTGAGGTATTCCACCTCCTTAGTCACGGATAACTCAAATGATGGATGTCTCGGTGTTACTAGGATGAGTAAGGCCATTTACTTGGCAGTCCGTCCAGGTGATTAACTGGGGGAATTGACCACCAGTTAATCATGGCCAAATCATGCTCATGTTTCTTAGCTGAGGTGGGAAGTCCATGCGTGAATGTCAGTAAACATGATGCTTTCTGGTGTTTTTTTTTGTTTGTTTGTTTGTTGGTTTGTTTTTTTTTTAAGGGGATATTTAGAACTACAAGGTGGATCAGCTGGGGGAAAGTGGTCTGCACAATCAAACC